ATATACACAAAAAAAACATTTAAGGAAAAATACACAATACACTATATATTTGAGTAAACTCGTTAAATGAATGTACCAGGTAAGCTCATACTTGGGTGTAAGAACACAATCGCAATTAAAACATAATAAAAGAAATTACAAAAGAATTACAAAAGAATAATAAACAGCAAACATCCCTTAAGGGGCCTGGTCGCGATTTTTCAAATTTTCCGCAATTCTATAAAATTTGAAAATTAAATTTTATATTTTAGTTGCCACCTCAATTATAAGATTTTTCCACTAATCTACTACCCAATACCTATTTAGGGGGGGTTGATAGGGTGTATTATATCGGTCAAAACACAGTTTACAGGAAAAACACTCACCCCTCGTGGATTGGTCCGATTTTCGTATTTTTTTTTTTTGTTAGATAGAGGAATATTTTTTACAGGGCGCATTGGACTTCGATTTTTAATTACGTCGCTAAAAACAAAAAATAATACAAAAACTAAAAAGTTGTAAAAATTGATTAAATTCAAACTTGTAACATAAGACTTAGAAAAATAATTTTGAAAATCCAAGTCCAATGCGCCCTGTAAGAAGTCTTCCTCTATCTAACAAAAAAAAAATTACGGAAATCGGACCAATCTACGAGGCGGGAGAGTTTTTCCTGTAAGGCATGTTTTTCAGCAAAAAAACAGGTCGCGTGCATACCCCTTAACGAGTACATAACAATCTTATGACGTCCATATGTCGCATCCACTTAGTGAAATCGCTCATTTTATGAAGTGGATGTCCACTTCATGAAATGTATCCATTTAGTGAAAATGACATTTTACTACACTATTTTTACAATTTGTTGACCTTTTCATGAAGTGGATGAAATTCATTTTATCCACATTCTGTAATAGTATTACTATTATACATGAGTATTTTTGGTATTGGTATTGAACGATTTGCACTAGGTAATTGTGTATAATATGATAATAATTAAATAATATAATATAGGTAACCTTAAATAATGAAGTATAAAAATTAAATTAAAAGTTATCTTAAGCTTTATTTTATATTTTTTTTTTTTAAAACTGGCACATCTTGATGTTTGACATTTGGTATTGGGTAATATTGTACAATTTGCACTAGGTACCTAATTGGCTTTAAAATAAATATAAAAGTTGCTTGATATAATTTGTAACTTGTATACTATATAAACTGGTCTGTCAGTCGATCAGGTAATTTCAAGATAAGATATAAAATAATTGAATATGATTGAACAGATAATGTATGATCCTGACATCCAGTTGACAATTGTGTGGTAATGGCTGTTCCAAAAGTCGACAAAAAGCCTACAGATCTACCAAATATTTTATGTTTAGTTGTTGAAAAAAGAATAAACTGTTTAAGTTAGGGACTAAACATGGAATGATTAAAGGATGGTAAGGAGGAGATTGCTTAGAAAAATGTGAGGAGTATTTAACGAGTGTCGAGGTTTTGTTGGACAAAGTGCTAACTATTCGAGAGACTGTTAAAGTCACAACAGGTGGACAAGGCTTTTATTCTTGTTCATGTAAATCGAAAAGCCCATGTCAAAAATCAAGATCTGCCTGTTTTTAAAGAAAAATGTTGTGCAATAGTCGTTGCCATAACTCTGAACCATGTAAAAATAAATAATATAAAATACTAGCTGATCCCGTGCACTTCGTCGCCCGTTAAATGGATCAACTCAATACTACCTACTCAAACTTTGTTCAATTCATTAACGTGTATGGTGTTTAAAATTTATCTTATCTTTCCCGTTGCCCTGAATAAAAATTCTGAATCGCAGCAGTACATTATCAGGTAGGCAATCTACCTGCGGTAGATCGCGGACCCCGTGCTGTTTGTACGGAAGTGTATGATTTAACTCTAAAGTATCAAAGTTATACCAAGTTTATTTTGATGTAATACTGTGGATTAATATAATAAATTTGGTTGCTCGTAAAAAATCGCAACTCTTAAAAAAATTATGATTGTTGAACTCCTTTTGGGTGTAATTTTCTGCGGTAAGTGCAACTCTGCCACCCTGGTAAGCATTGTTCAATAATTCGATTTGATGCAAGCTTGTACCTGATCTGCCCGAATAACCAATGGCAACCAATAAATAAATGCTAATTTCTAATGTAGACTGTAACCAATGGCAACTATAAATAAATAAAAATAAAATTTCCAATTTCTATCGTGAATCTCAATGTCCCTGTTTCAGCACCTATTTAAAATGCGAATTTTGGCAAATCCTTTCTTAGCGCACGTCTATATTATAATAGCTATCTGTATGCCAAATTTCAGCCAGATCCGTCCAATGGTTTAAGCTGTGCGTTGATAGCAGTCAATCAGCTTACTGTTTTTTATATACAGATATGGTTGCCATGGTAACATGGACACACAGACACACAGACACACACACTGACATACATTCATTTTTATATATATAGAAGATAAAATAGAGTTTAAGAAAACTTTTTTAATTTAATTTGTATACTTCATTATTTAAGGTTACCTATATTATATTATTTAATTATTATCATATTATCCACATTTACCTAGTGCAAATCGTACAATTACCCAATACCAAAAATACTCGTATATAATAGTAATATTACAGAATGTGGATAAAATGAATTTCATCCACTTCATGAAAAGGTCAATAAATTGTCCATATAGTGTAGTAAAACGTTATTTTCACTAAATGAGTGATTTCACTAAGTGGATGCGACACATACACTAAAAACTGTCCATATATGGATACCCAATATGATCACAACCAATTCTGACCATACGTAATAACAATTAAGTGGGGATAAAACAATCGCTCCCTTATATAAACAGACACACAGACAATAGATTCAGTACAGTAGTACACTCAGCGCTACACGGCAGATCAACACAGATGACCACGTCGACGGAGACCGCAGCAAAACCACACAACACCGACCATTTGACACCAAATTAATCTTTCTTCACAAAGTTAACTTACTATTGCTTTTGCTCAAACACCACAAGGTAAGTGAATATAAATATGTTTTAAAATCGAAGACAAATTATCGATTCGGTACTCAATACTAATAATATTCAGTAGTAGGATAAAAATTACGATAAGCGCGTAATCTTAACTAGTTATACTTTTTATAATCTACCGCCTTGCACACCATCAGACGAAACGTCATAGATAAGCTATTTTTATAGAACATATTATGCGCTCATATCGCTACTACATTGTTCTTCGAATTTTTGACGGGGACAAAAAATCCGTTCTGAAAAATGTTGGACAAAAAGTCTAAAAATACCAAATTTTCTATTACATTTTATTTATAATTATATTATAATATATACGTAATAGTTAGGTTACAAATCATAATATAATAGGTGTTTCATATATAATTAATATTTATTTAATATATTTAGATAATTAATAATTAATTTTAATTTATCATAGTAGTGGCCCATTAGTTACAAAAATATATAAAAATAATTATTTTTTTACATATCGTAGTAACTTATTACTTACAGCAAATAATTTTAATATATACATTTACTCAGAAAACTAAATATTTCAAAAAAAAAAAAATAAAAATCAAGTTCAAAAATAATAAGAAAAAATATATATATTTTGGCTTTTGCAAATATTATAAAACAATTAATAAAAATATAATCGTTTAAGTCGGTGTCGCTCTTTTCCCAAAAAAAAAAAATACATTTGAAAATGTCATTGTGTGTATAAAATATAATAATATACTCTTAAAGTTTCTTATACACACAAAAAAATTTTTAAATTATATAACAAAATATTAAAAATCATCATTCTCGGTTTTTATATGTAATTTGGTCCACATATTGACTGAGGGCCTGTCGTTAACAGAATTAGCAGGGGACCGTAGACGGGTCATTACGCATACACATATACATATTATATTATATAATAAACAAAAATAATAAGATGGTGATAGTGTAGCGTGTGCGTGATTGGTCGGTCAGTACGATAAGTCGCACAAATGTACATAGAATTTTAAAATTATGAAACAATACAAAAAAAAAACATACAGCAAATTTAAAAGAAAGATTTTTTCTTATATATTTTTGAACTCAAGAGTAATCTTATGTTGACTATTATTTTAAATTTGTATATGGGATTATAATATACTATTTAGGCACTAAGTAAGTGATAAATATAAGAATAGTACATTAGAAAAAAAGTATTGTTGTACGAACCAAAATATATATTGATAGCTGTGATATTTTCGTTGATTATAATATATTGTTGGAGAAAAAACATGATATTGCACTTGAATAATGCACTTTCAAATCTTTTGTTCATATAAATTTTGGGTTTTCATCATCTACATATCTATTAGTATTTATAAAAATATGTATGCTATTGACTTTACAACGAATTCTTTTAATTTCAACAACATTAACACGAACTAATGGTTAATCACTACTAACATTGAGTTCAGTTTTCATTTCAATTTAAGGAATTTAATATTTTCCTATGTACAACATAAATTGTACTACATAATTTTCCCTTACTAAATTGGCTCACATAATAATGTAATATTAATAAAATTAATAAAATGTTTTAAATAATTATTAAATTTAATAGAATATTTTATATTATTTTAATTTTTTCAAAATGGACTTTTTGACAGATTACCTCGTTATGCATATTGTATAACATGTATGTATTGTTTGTTCACAGACGCTCACCCGAAACATTGCGACTCGTATGAATATCAGGCGTACGGCTTGGGATATTTACACAACTAGTGCTGTACGTGAAAACAAAAATGAAAGCAATAAATGCTGTGTTTTTTTACATATTGTTAGCAATTGCGTTATGTTCATCCAATGTTTCCACGTACTGTGGAAACGATGAACAGATCGATGATTTACGAACGGCTATGATAAAATAGGAATCCGTTTCCACGGTATTGACAACACTGAGCGCAATACCGGTAACAGGTGCTACGTTAGCAGTCGCCCAAATTATGATATCCGGTCGGTTTCTTTTACATTTGAATGAAGTATTTGATGAAATGAACAGTTCGTTGAATAAGGACCATCGCGACTACAAACGGTGTTCAGAAATCATGGAAATGTCAAAAGCAGCAAATACATTCATAAAGCCATTTAGTTATGCGGTCTCTCTGACTTCATTTATACCGGGTTTGGGTATGTTATTTTTAGCTCCAAGGTTAGGTGAATAAAGTCTATGTTATTTTTAAGAGAACAATTACTATCTTGGAAAAAGGCCGGTTGCCAATATGCAACAACAAGAGATTGTAATTTATAGATGAATTAAAAATGAATATTTATGATTTGATTTGATTGTAAACGGTAATAACACATATATATATATAATAGTTTTATCATAAAATAAACATTCTAAATTATACCGTATTATGTTTGATTTCATTTATTAAAAAACTATCTGTTACAAATTAATAAATCTATTTTTTGAGTGTATATTTTTGTCTAGTTAATGTACAACACAGTATTATAATACCTACACAGTAAAAAACGTATATCCGTGATATCGTTTAATATTATAACCAATGACAGATTATTTTTATTTATGATGATGTCCTAGTTGTATTTCTTGATCTGAGAATGGTTAAGTTTTAGATAGTATGTATAATAATATGAGACCGTGATACCACTTAGGTACTGATCACTGATCAGCAATCAATTAACGACACGAACGTTTTGTATTAATTACACGTGCGTTCCCGAATCTATGGTTTAATATATTTTTTATCCCATAACCAAGTCATTTTAAATGTAAGAATATATAAATTAAAATAACTACTAAGAATAATAAATTAGTTATTGATTTGATTTTATTGATTTACGCCTTGACAGGCACTAATTTAAGTACAATATTTTGTTGGTAAAATTAAATATTACAAAAACAGTTGAATAATACAGTAACAAAGAGAAAAAGAAAAAAAATCTATAGTATAATATGTGAATTAAATATCTGGTAAAAAATGCAAAAGAATAGGCTGAGTTGAGGCTGCGTAACATTCTGTGGAGTGGGTGGTTGAATCCATAGGAAGTGCGGAGGTAGGGTAATTGAAAAAGGGAATGATTTCTAGTAGAGTGAGATGGAACACGGAACGAGATAGAACAGAGCAATTCAGGAAAATCTAGATATCCCTCAAGAAGTGAAGAGATGAAATGATGGTCAGCCCCTGCGTGGCGAGAGGCTGAAGAAGGGATTCGAATATTAGAGGAAATGAGTGAGTAATCGTGTATGGGATGTTTAATTTTTAACTTGAAGGCAGCATAGGATAAAAATCTGTTTTGTACTCAATCCAGTCTCAGTTCATCACGCGCTAGGTATGGGTGTCATATTTTTTTATTTATTTATTTTCAGCAAAATCAATATCATTATTTCAATACAATAATACAATAGTCAGATTACAAAAGTTAAATTACTACAATAATAATGATAGGAGCTGATACGTATACCAACTGAGCAAGCTCGTTTCTGGTATACGGAGTTCCTACACATATTACTTATATAATATAATAAAATAAAATGTCATGTGTCTTATACAATTGAGAATGATGTATTTTACTTCTCTAAATAACATTATCTTATAATTATATAACTAAACAATACTAATAGATAATCATTTATATTTACACATAGATACTTTTTAATAATTGATTTTTACACACATTCTCATCTAGGTCATTTCCTATTTTAGTAACTATATTTTTTATACGATTTTTGTTAATTATATTTTTTACATTGGTTTTATTAGACTGATTTTCACATCCATACTTTATTAGACTCTTTACATCATTTCCTAAATTGTTGAATATAGTTTTGACCATATAATCGGGAGCACTTTTTGTACTGGATAGTGATATATAAGGTAATTGTATATTTGTATGTTATTACCTGTTCTACTGTCTATTATATCTGTATTATTAAGTATCTGCATTTGAATTGTTTTTATAAGTGTTTGTTTAATGTATAATTTATAGATTGATAGTATGTTAGTATTTTTAAAAATATCTATTGAAGGGTATGTTGGCGGTAACGAGTAGGCTACTTTTATAATAATTTTCTGGGCAATATATACCGATTTTATGTCTGTTCTGCTGGCACCTCCCCAGCATGTTATACCATATAATAAGAGTGAATTACATAATGCCATATAAATTTGCCGTATAACTGATTTCTTAAGAAAGCGAATTTTATAAAATAGGGAAGTTAATCTCCGGATTTTATTTTTGATACATTTGATATGCTCAGACCATTTCAGTTCTTGATCCATTATGACTCCTAAATATTTAAATTGTTGTACCATTTTAAGTGGTTTACAATTGCAGATTGTTTTATTTGTGGAACATTGATGTAATATGAAGTTCAATCCAACTGGAAGCTGTGATCGGTTTGTGACTATCGGCATGCATACTGATTTATTTACATTAAGTGATAATAAGTTATTTTCCATCCAGTTTATATACAAGCTGTAAGTCAGTTTCAACAATTTCTATTAATTTTGACCAGTTTTCTTCGGTATTAATAAGAGCTATATCATCGGCAAACATGAATAGTTTACCTTTTAATAATGAAGCTGGTATAGAGTTAATAAAGATTAAAAATAGTAAGGGGCCTAATGACGTTCCTTGTGTTACTCCATAATCTTGGACATAACAGTCACTATGATGGGATCCAATAGTGGTTAATTGCTGTCTATTACTCAGATAACTAGAAAACCAATTGAGTGTAATAGTATCGAATCCTAATTCATTTAACTTATGTAGTAATAATTGTCCACTAATTGAATCGAAAGCTTTTTCTAGGTCTAGGAACGAAATTAGTATTTTCTTTTTATTGTCTCTCTTGCTATGTAAAAAATTTGTTAAATTTAATCTATTAAAGCGTCATCTGTTCCTAAGTTCCTTCTAAACCCATATTGTTCTTCAAATAATATTTTATCACTTTCTAGGTACTCTAAGAGTTGGTTTTTTATTATTTTTTCGAGGATTTTGGCTATAATACCTACTAAAGAGATGGGTCTATAATTTAAAAAATCAGTTTTATCTCCGCTTTTATGTATTGGTACAATTTTAGCCATTTTCAATTCATCGGGTACTATACCGTTGACTATACTACAATTAATTATATGATAGGTGGGATCACATTGTCTCCTATTTGTTTAACAAAGAGAGCTGTATAACCATCCGGACCTGGTGCTGAGTTGTTATTCAATTTATTTAATATATTTATGACTTTATTACTACCGATGGTATTTATTTTAAATATATTTTTTTTATTTGATATATTATTAATTTTTCTTCCCAAATTAGACTGTATGTTATTTACACTATTGGAGAAATTTTTTTCTACTAATCTTTTACCAGTTGTCGCATAATATGAGTTAACTATATTTAAGTAGCATTTTGGTGATGATGTTGGGTATTTATTCTCAATTATATCGTAAATTGGAAGCTTAGGCGAGATTTCTTTTCTAGATGTTAGTTCATTAATTACTTTCCAGATTTATCTTCCATTACCTTTACATGTCTCTATTTTATTTATATAAAATTGTTCTTTTGCCTTCCGAATTAATATTGTTAGTTTATTTCTATATGCTCCATAGTAATTTAATAATTTAAGATTTGTTTTATCCCTCTTAGTTTTCATGTTTAGTTTATCTCTATTTTTTATAGATATTACAAGACCATTAGTTATCCATGGTTTTAGCTTACGATTTTTCGTACTCATATGATGCTTTGTAACTATACAGTTATTTATATTTTATAGTATATATATATTACAACTCCAATACTCCATATTATAAAACGGAGTTATAATTTGTATTTAGGTACTATTATAGTCAATACAATATTATATATATATATATATATATATTAATCCTCGTAAATGGAATTTTTATAAATTAATAGGTAATTATAATTCTCAATATATTCTGTATTTGTATTTTAAAACTGTAAAAGCGTAAGACCAGGGTCCAAATTGTATTTATGACTGTCATGGTTAATCACTTTTAGAATCTTAACACAGAAATATGTTTTAATAGATTAATCTACATTTTTCATATCATTATTTTTATTTAATTTACTAATGCCGAAAGTGAATTAATTTTGCAAAATTTTGCTTGTTTTATGTACTTGCGTAAACTGTAATTTATTTTGCGTATTTCATGAGATATACATACCTACATATATATATTTTAAAATAATAGTTATTGCCTCAAATAAACAAATTATATCTTAAAACAAATATTAAAGTTTATCTATAATGTCGGTGACGAAAATGTCAGGGATGGTTCTTAGAGATAACAGAAATGTTTAGAAAACCACGTTCGGAAATATGCCAAGAGCTATTAATAATATGTGAGCTGTGGTACAATAAAACCGAGATACAATACACCATTGATATAACTCTATATTTTATATTACCTAATTGTCTATTTTTCCAGGGTGAAGTCAGATTATACAGCTGGTATAATATATAGTTAAGAATTACCATAGCATACGTTTAGTGTATAATGTTTAATAATGTCAATAATATAATAATATTTATACATTATGTTAAGTACGTTAAATCGTCATTCTACGCTTCATACTCGACTATTTTACCAAGGTTTTATAAAGGTACATGGATTTTACAATCTTTCTTACATACAACATGTTATATGATTTATAACTTATAAATTATAAGTAAATACGATAAACGAAGCGACGTCGGTGAAAACATGCGTAAAAGTATATGCAACACTCGTTTCGTTGAACCTAACAACACCATTATACGCATTCGCAAACGAAAACGAAAACTGTTTTGTATGATCTGATGAGAATCGTGGCCGGAAATTCTTCGCATTATTACCACTACCTAGGTACTATAATATAAGCATTATAAACAGACGGTGATGAGCCTGATTTCTCCTAGATGGAGGACACATAATATTATACCCCACACGTCAATACGGTATAATAAGCGGTAGTGTAACCACTACATATAGTTCTGGAGTACAACCTGGTATTGCAGTCGCCTTGGTTTATACCACGGTAGTCTGTGCACAAGCGTTGTCGATAGAGCTTTACGCAGCATTTCGCAAACGGTCGGATCAGAAAAGTTTTCGCCTAAACTGAATTCTACAATTAGGGATTGGCGATACGATGTTTTTGTCCAGAGGTATAGTTCATTGCTGTCAAAGAA